TCCACCTCCTGTCCTGTAGGGCTGCGGGGCTCTGCAGCATATTCGAGCAACAAGGGGCGCAAGTCTAAATCACACTTTCTTAGATAACAATTTAACTGAAACCAAAATAATGTTTTAATAGCTAGAAAAGATATTCAATATGAACACAGTCCAAAAATAGTACTTTTTCATACTTTTCATGGAAAGACAAAACCAAACAGCTCTGAGAAACATTCTGGAGTAGCAAGAGGGTCAGGTTCTGTCAAACTGCCTGCCACTACCAAACAGTATGCAGTCGGGAAGAAAGACTGTCAGTTTGTACCTTTGCGTGTCATGGGGCTGTACAATCAAGGGTAAAAATTGGTACTATTTTTCTGACATGTAAACTATTTTGTGCATAATCCTACGTGTTATCATACAGTTCTATTAAACTATAATTAGTTCTATTATTTTATAAATCTTTGATTATAGATATTTTAAAAGAGCAGTTCTGTAAATACATTGTGAAATAACACGTTCTTTTGTTTGCACAGTAATACGACTGGTATTTTTGAATGATGATTTAACTGGTTCAGATTTAATTAGGGGTGTGGATAACATGTTGTAAAAAGATATAGATTTACATAAACGGAATGCATGGATTATGAGTCAAAATTAAATCTGGGTTCTTAAACATTTCAGGATATAAAGTAGCCTATATACATGGATGGACATAACTGGTACGCTAGTACGCATTCACCTATAAAAGCGATACGTGCGACAATCGATTGTGGTAACAAGGTAAATGCACACTTATTTTATGTGTATTTGCCCTGGTATGAAAACAAAATATAATGTATTTTAATCTTTATATGCTAACTCTACTTCACTTGCGATACACAGGTTAAAATGCAAGGTATTTTCTTGTCATAGCAGCGCAAATGCACATAAAATAAGTACGCATCAGCGCTTTTACAAACAATCGATGGTCGCACGTATCGTTTTTAACGGCGAATTCGTACTTGCGTACCAGTTACGTCCATCCCTGACTATACGCCTACAGATCTTCGGAATTATATTTTGCTGTCATCCAGGAACGTAGGAAGCGGGGGTACAGGGGGACGGGCGCATGTACCGCCAATATTTAATTTGGACTAATCCATACCCCCCATTTTATTTTATTATTTGAATTATACCACCAACGTACAATTGGATTAAAGTTATATTCTCTTCAAAATTCTATCATTGTCTGGATTTAATTTTTTCTTTCATTTATAAAATTACTACTGTAACAAAATGAAAACAATAATTTAACAAAGCATAGTAAACTGATGTAACTTATTTTGTACACTAATACACGATTAATGCATGAGACATGTTTAAAACTATTGGAAAATAATTGCATATTGAAAATTCTTGAATAAATGACTGATATATCGAAAAATCAAACCATTTCAGAGTAGTAAGATCTGTTAGGGGCGTTGGCACCACATTTGTTCTTATTATTATTTGTATAATAATGTAATAATAATTCTAAGCCAGGGGTAGGGGTTCTTATTCAGAAAGAGCTGTTGTGTACGTGGGTTTCCGCAGCAGCTCTAATTAAATTACTAATCAAAGGACTGATTGGCCGAAGAGTCCCCACCGCTGGGTTTAAACAGCTGCCCTAAAGTTTATCCCAAAAACTGGCAAACACACTGGCACTTTGCCGGTAAGACTGGCCACCCCTGTTCTAAGCAACAATTTTAAGGAACATTTAACATTACCAGTCAATTTATGCAGCATTCACTAGAGATTTTGTAGATTTGGGAATACTGTTAAATCTACATTTCGAGGTAACTGAAAGCAAACGACCTGAAGTATACCAATCAACTGCACAATTTTACGAGAAGAAATTAAGCTCGTGACATCTCGGGAACTCGAAACTCTGAAGCGTCAACGTCCATTATGTCGCATAGTTAATATCTTAGACTATTATTATTAATATTATTATTATTATCACTACTACTACTACTATTATTGTTATTAATCATATAAAAATACAACAATAATAATAATTCTATTTATTATTATTATTATTATTATTATTATCGTCGCAGGTCATGAAGGCTAGAGACAATAACCTTAGGGAGAATTGCTTTGCTAACCACGCCTTCAATCACCCTAGCTGCGAGCGACTCCACAGTAGACGGTCATTTTACGGATATCCGACCACCTGCAAACGGAAAGAAGACCTGTTAATTTTAGATTGTTGTTTATAATGAGGCTAATGAGAGAGAACGGGTGAGTTTGATTATCTATTTAAAAAAAAAAAACAGGCAAACAATTATGTATATATGGACTTTCATATCTGTCTGCAATATAATAACTGAATGATTTGTATAATTTGAAATTGAATGCATTTTCAAAGCAAACAATCATGAACACTCTCCGATTCATGTAAAAAAAATTCCAACGTTGAATTTAGTAATTTATGTTTTATTTCGATGATTTTAACATTTTTAGTCATAGCAAACTGTAGATCAAAGCGTTCCACTTCGTGTTGTAATTTGGCTGATTAAGTTCCAATATGCATGAAAAATCTTGGAATGACGAAAATGTAAATTTTACTATAGGCCTACCTGCATTACCAGAAAACCCCGTGACTAATGCATACACCAATTTCACAGATTTTGGAATATATCATTGCCAAATACAAAACAGAAAGAGATGTTTAAATTAGAGTGTATCAAGTTTAATGAAAATGTATCCTAGAGAAATACATGTACAACAAAATCACCCGTTTATCTGCATCTTTCAAAGCGTGCAGACGGACCGCAGCTGAGTTTGGTTACCTTTAGTTTGGTTAAGATTGATCAAATATAAACCGCTTATGTATATTACAAAACAGCAACCTTTATAAATAAACTCCAGAGTTAAGATAAATGACCACGTTAGTTCACTTTTGTCATTCTGAAGAAAGATGTGGTGTTCTTTTAAAGTGATTCGTTATACACTTGCCAAGCTCTATTTGTGGAGTACTATATTGGATAAGTGGTAATGAAAAATGGTGGAATGGATGGAAAACAGTGAGCTTCCTGCTCGTATTGGCGATATGACCAAAATGTGATATAACTACGTTTTTGGTCAGAATTCTGATCCACGATGTTGTTTACAAACCAGTCAAATTGAAATCCATGTAGTAATTCGTAATAATATTGAAATATACGCAGTATCTACTAATTTAATTGGAATTTTATTATTATTAAATGGTAATATTATTATTAAATGGTTAATTTTATTTGCCATTTAATAATTATACCAACAAGTATATCCTTACAAGAAGAACTGCTCCTTGCATTATGATAATAGGAACGCGACGGAAGGGGGCTCCGGTTTCCTCCTACGGGCCCAAAGCGTGCAGGACGGGTTGATTGGCGAGTGTAAGTGTGTGCGCGTGCCCGCCCTGCAGTGCGTTGGCGATTGCCTATGGTTGGTTTCCGCCTGCGCCCCTTGTTCCCGGGATAGGCTCCGGATTAAGCGGTGATGGTGGCAAATTATTAATAAGTGTGTGTGTGTTAGTGATCGACCGATATTGATTTTTTATTACCGATACTGATACCAATTATTTGCATGTTTATGTGCCCGATAACCGATATTCACAACCGATATTTATTTACTATTATACTTCTGTTACACAATGATTACAACACCACTGAACTGAACAAATTGTATTATTTATAACAACCACTTGCATACAAATCAAAACTCTTATTTATACACCAGTCTGAAAGTGCAAAAAATACAAGAAGAGCACTGTTACTAAAGTGTTTTTGTTCAAAAATAAAATCTTCAATGAGTTAAAAAAAAAACATGTAACATTCTTAGCCACTTGAAAAAAAATTATGTTGCTGTTTTAATGCAGCTTAATACTCCCAGGTGAGCAGAACGAGGTTGTAGTGTAGAAAACAGTCTACAGAGAAAAGCATGAGCAGCAACACTAACATTACCAATATACCAATAAGCAAAATAAATATAGAATGTTTGTTTTCAAGCACAGGAGTCATATCAACTTTGCAGAAATGTAACTTCATTTTAAACTACAGTTTTATTAGGTTTATAAAGCTGTTTATAGGTTAAAGAGTGAAGAATAATTTGCTGGATAATGTTAATTTACTGAATAATATTCTGAAATATTGAAATATAACAAACAAAACATAGTTTTTTAATTGCTTTTCTGATATGTTATATCACAATTACGTTTTTGTCGTTCTAGATTATGAAATGCGTGCTGACAAAGCGCATTCAATTTCTTAGTTATATTTATTTAGAAGATGTTTATTAGCGGAATGATGGTTATATATAGTAAATGTTAATATAATTCGGGGTGTTTTAGTGAATCTTGTTAAAAGTTATATGCGGTGGCTGTGCTGGAGCATTTCATGAGCATCAACCCGGTGAGTGAACAGCAAAATGGAAGCGACTTCAGGAGACGAATGATGAGCATATAGACGCTCGTTAGTGGCTGTATTTAATTCAGGCAAGTTACGTCTTTATTGGAACAGGCTGACATGACGGTTTATCTTAGCATTCGTGACTCCGACTTCACGAGACTAATGATGAGCATGTAGACAACATTGAGAAAATTAAATTCAGCGCTTTTATTTACAAGATGCAGTCATCCATGACTGTAAATTATTTAATTCATGCAAAGTTACATATTTATTGGGATAGGACTTGATGGGTTATTTTAGCCGACCAACTTCACGAGACTAATGGTGAGCATATAGACAATATGAGAGAGAATTAAATTCAGCACTTTTATTTACAACATGTGCTTATTAATGGCTGTATATTATTTAATTCAGGCAAAGTTACATCTTTATTGTGACAGGATTTGACGGATTATCTTACGTGACTCTGTGAGTTCGTCTTTATTTCTTAGAGCCAAGCTGCATAAACTACATATCAGTCATTTATGTAACACATCTAATTTGTGCATTAATAGCTGTTATGTTAAATAAAGTTTACTAAATATAGCAAAGCAAGTAAGTATACTTTACCTGTGCACGCAGTTGTTGTTTCCCGTCAGACGCCGTGCTGCAATGGCGATCATGCGCGTAATTCTCAAAACACCCACAAGATGGCGGCATTTATCAGTGAACCCGATATTACAAAACCGATAACCGATTATGGTAAAATGCTTAAATATCGGGAAAAATATCGGTAAATCGATATATCGGTCGATCTCTAGTGTGTGTGTATCCATATATCCATAAAATACTCTACAGCAGGGTTCCCCTAACAATCCATGGCGGAGTAATTCTCAATCCATTGCGAAGTGCGTCGCAAACCTCCATGCACTTGCGCGCGTACAACTAATCGTGTACTTTAAACATTTAGCACGCAAACATTTCAAAAGCCAGAAGACCAAAAACGTATAATTTAGAGTGGGAAGAGGGGGAAAAAAGATTATTTTTTTGTTTACTCAAATTCGAAGTCCATATGTCTGGACATAGCCACTGGACCCCACAACCCTACCTAACACCCAGTCCATACAAGCATTGAACAGAGTAGGAGCAAGAACACACCCCTGGCAAACCCCAGAATCAACTGGGAAGAACACAGAGGTTCTCCCTCCACTCTATGCAGCACTCATTGTACCAGTGTACAGGCCAGCCATGACGTCCAGCAACTTCAGGGGGATCCCGCAAAGGATGTCCCTCAGGATGTCCCTCAGAGCAACTCAATCAACTGATTCAAACGCTTTACGAAAATCGGCAAAGGCTGCAAAGAACCTCTGCCAATATTCGGGCTTGCACTCGATGAGAACCCTCAGTGCGAGGATACGGTGGATGGTAGACTTCTTAGGCGTAAAACCAGACTGCTCCAATCGCTGATAGCAAGTGATCACGGATCCTGTTAAGGATGACCCTAGCAAGGACCTTACCCAGCACTGAAAGCAGTGTTATCCCCCTGTAGCTGCCGCATCCCAGACAGTCACCCTTCCCTTTCCAGATAGGGACTACAAGTCCCATTTTCCAGTCAATTGGGATGAGGCCTGACTCCTAAATGGAGGCAAAGATTGCCTGCAATGCCAGGAGGACAGCCTTACTACCCGCCTGGAGAACTTCACCCCGGATACCACAGGTCCCTGCAGCCTTCCCTACCCCCAGCTGAATCACCACCCATGCAATCTCAGTGAGACTGGGTGGTTCACAGCTGATTGGAGGATCAGCTTGAGAACTGTGGACCCAGAGATGTCCAACGTCTTAGCCAGAGGATAAGCTTTAAACAACTGCTCAAAGTAGCCGGCCCAGCGGGTCACAACTGCAGTGTCATCCATAAGGACTGTCCCAGCACCCCCCCTGACTGTAAGTCTCCAAGGAACAGATTCAGATGTACGTAATGTTTAGATTCTTCTATAAGCAGTACGTGGGTCACTAGACCACAGATGGTGTTTCACCTGCTCACAAATTCGTCTAACAAATGCCTCCTTATCTGCCCTCAGAGCCCTCACAGCCAACCTTCTCAGTTCTTAGTCGTATTCTGTGACTCCTCTCAATAATATCCAGGGTGCCCTGTGAGATGAAACACCTCCTTCTGGGAACACTGGCAACACCAACACAACCCTCGGCAACCTTCAGGGTCTTATCACAGAAGGTCTCCCACATCACATTAGAGTCAGCAGTCGCACCCAAGTCTGCAAGTTCCACACACAAACTGTGTGCAGACTCATCAGAAACAGCTTGATCTTGGAGTCTGGATAAATCCAGCCTCATTCCCCTAGTAGGTGGTAGCGTACTGGATCTAAGCTGAATCTTCAGAGTAGCAACAATAAGTCAGTGGTCAGAATTCACAAACTGGGCACTTCGTGAGACCCTGCAGATCTGCAGGAGCCTCCAGTGTCTGCCCACAAGAATGTGATCGATCTCCTTCGCCGCACCACCAGTATCGGAGTACCAAGTCCAACAATGCGGCTCAGGGTGTTGGAACCAGGATCCAGCAACCCGCAGCCCCTGGCCTTTCGCAAAGTCAAGGAACATGGACATCGTATAACCTAGAAAAAGTAGCAGCAATGTATTTAGTTTTCCGAAAGTTTATTGTCAAATATGCTCAATACGTCAGAGAGGTGATAAATCTGGTTCAACATTTCATAGATTTCCAGCAGACCCAGAAAAACGTAGTAAGTGGATTGCAGCAGTCAGACCGGAGAATCGTCATTCCACTGAATACATGCCTTAGTGTTACTTATATGTATGATTTATGTGTGGATTTGTATAGGCTATGATTTATTAAAATTTGATTTCATGTTGCAGTCAGTTCAATTCGTTGCCTTTTTGATATTCTGAACCTGTTTAAGGGCAATTCCAAGTGAATTTTAAGTGAAAATTGAATACTGAATAAAGAAATAATGACGTGAATAATATTGTGATAATTTTCGATATCATGTGATATGAAAGAGCGTGGTAAAATATTTTGTCATATGACCCAGCTCAAGGCTGATATCTAAATCAACACATAATTGTTTTACGTGCTGTTTGTAGGTCATTAGACATAGCAGCATTATTAAGATAAAGATTAAACTCTTACCTTCTATAGGATTAAGAAGCATTCTTTTCCTAGAATGTCCTATACACCAGTCCCGTGTAGATTACCAACCAGAAAATACTTTTACAAGTTTTAATCTGCTTACGTCTTTAGTGTATGCTATACTTCAACATTACTGGCAGCGCAGTAGGTTTGTTCACACCAGCATTACTACACATAGTAAGTAATGCAATGTGCTACAAAGTTACTGGCGATAGACAGTTTTCAGCTCCATTATAATCTTACACAAACACCCTCATATATCGTTATTGGCACATGACTGTACATAATAATTATATAACAGTACTATATAAAACTATATCCTATATACAAGTATATTATCATTAGGCAGAGCAGAGGAGGCAGAGTGGGGGGTGGGGGGAATGGAGGAGCATCTTTCCCCGGACTCATCACAAACGTATTGCATGTAGCCAACAATAAACTGTCATGACCTGTCTGATATGTTCTGTGTATCTAGTACGCGTGTGAGTCCGTTTTCCCCAGATCCGTCATTAATGTTACTTTGTCACTGCTCTGTACTTCCCTGGTTTCCCCGTAAATAAACCCCATTTCCTGATCATCCGTCTCCCTGCTTCTGCTTCCCCGATCGTGACATAAAACTTCGATTGATATGTTCATTTCTTTAATTGTTGGATTGTAAATAGGTTTACTCTGCAACTGATTGGCTACCCCAGAGGCAAAATTGACAATTTAGCAAATAGTTGTATAATGTGTGTCGTCAAACTCATTTTTAAAATTAGAGAAAACTGATATGTTACGGTAATAAGTTTGTGAGAATGACCAATATTGTGTTAATACACATACCTCTGCTTTTTCCTTCTTCATTCAGAACAACCCTGTAAACAAGAAACTATTTCTAAACAATTTATATGGTGAAAATGTTAGTATTTTAGTAGTGAAAATTTAGAATGCATTGCTAATACAATAACAATGCAATCAACTACACAGGCCAAACAAGCATATACGCTGCAGCGTAGTGTCGTAGCACATGGGGCACGGACCAGGAAAGCAGGTGAAGGAGATGCAGGATGGGAGAAAGAGGGCTTTAATTGGAAGACGGAGAGGCATACAAGGCAACATGAAACTTCAAACACGCAGAGACGTCAAAGCAGCACAAGAGACTTCAATGAAAAGAACGCAGACTGAAATACACAGGACTCAATCGGGATTTTACATGAGGTTAATGAGGGGGGCGGGGCACACAGGAGAATCAGACGAGCAGGATGTGACAGAACCCCCCCACAAGCGTGCCCAAGGGGAGCAACAGACGAGACCGGGAATTGCACAGGACCTGGGGAAACAAAACCAAAAACCATCACCAGGACATCGGGAACAGGATGGACACACAGAACAGGCACAACGGAAGCAACCGAAACAACAACTGACAAAGCACGGGAAACGCAGACAGGCACAGGGGCACCAAGAATGGAGACATGGGGGGAACACCAATGGGAGGAACGAAGGGACCAGGAGTGAACGAAGGAGAAACGGAGAGACGAGGAGCAGACACAGGGGGAACAGGACTAGGAGGCAGGAAGGCATAGGATGGGGGGAAACAGGGAGCCCGAGGGAACCCCAGTGGGCGAGAGGTGGACACCGTAGGGACCATTGGCGGCAGCGAGGTAGGAGCAGGAAGGGACCTCATAGGGGACAAGGAGGCAGACGGAGGGACAGGCGGAAGAGGAAGTTGAAGAGGGCACCAGAGGGGCGAGGAGGAAAGTGAAGGGGACCTCGGCGAAGGGGAGGAGGCAGGTGAAGGCTCGGCAGGCGATGGTGCAGCCACAGCTGGAGAAGGTGCAGTCGACTGATGAGTCTGAGTGAAGGGACCCGCAGGCGACCAATGAGTTGAAGCGGGGGGACCCACAGGTGTCCAACAAGGTGCCAGAGGTGGGGCCGAAGACGGCCAGCGAGGCGCCAGAGGGTGGGACCCGACCCCGACACAGATGTCCCCTCCCTTTCTGGGAGACCGAGAGGCGGGGACCCAGCCGGGATCTGTCCTGCAGTGGTGGTGAAGGACTCACTCCCCCGGAAGGGTCCACTGGGGCCATCAGGGAAATCCCCGAGGGGTTCCATTCAAGCTCCTCTTCCTCCAAGGGAGAAGGAGCGATGATCGAGCAGTCCAGGACCTCCTCAGGGACAGGAACTGGGGGCCCAGGAGCTGGTGGTGCGGGAGCAGGGCCAGGAGCCAGGGGGTGAGGAGCCAGAGTGGGAACTTCTGTGGGCTGGTCAGGTACAGGTAGAGCAGGAACCCGCAGGGGCGGAGCATCGACCACCCGTGCAGGAAACGCGGGAACAAGCAGGTCAGGAACCGCAGGATCAGGTAGGTTAGGAACATCGGAAACAGGCAGGTCAGGAACAGGCAGAGCAGGGGCCTCCGTGGGCAGAGCAGGGATCCTGGGTGAAGCATTGTCCATCTGCGCAGGAACCGCCGACACAGGAACCGCAGGGGACAGAACCGGGGGTTGCTCCTTGGTAGCAGGCGCTGCCCCTTTAAGGGCCTTGGGG